ACGGCGAATTTGCTGAATCCACTTCGCCCGCAGATTTTCGTCCGATGGCATCTGGAAAAGGCTAAAGCCATCCGCCCTCTTGTTCGTGCAGTTCGCTGCCACACACTGGTTAGGCATGTTGACAAACACACCCCCAGATAACTGCGTTTACCAAACGTTCTCCTGTCCTTTCTATACCTCTACGATTGTACAAACTTTCGGCCAAGCGTGCAAACAAGCAAAACAAATATGGCTGCCAAGCGTTCAGGCTGAAACAAGCTGGATCATGTTCCCTCGTGATGCGTCATTTCCGGTTGCTTGCGTAACCGGAAGCTAGTCGAGCGGGGAATAGATTTTCTAGTGGCGGGGCGTTCAAATTGTGTATAAAATGGGCGAACCGCGTAAATATTCCGTAAACGAACAGAGTTTCTGATTAATAATACCATAGGCACATACAATAAAACTAAGTCGTCTTGGAGTGGCTTCTGCCCTTTAATGCTTGTGTCAATGGGGAACATTTCTTGACCGAGAAAAAGTGGTCACCATGGACAGGTGGCATGCTTGAAGAGAGGGGACTCCTCAGCTAGGTAGACAACGATTAGGGTGTGAACTCGCCGTGAGAACTCACCTGTACGTCTTGTGACGTCAGAACTAACAGGCGTCGGTTCCTGGAGAGTCCAAGAGCCTTGCAGAGACCTTCATCAGAGACCTTAAAGACTGGGAAAAAGTCGCCAACCTCTCCCAAGACACTTCTGGAAAAGTTCAGGTAAACCCGGAAGTAACAGGTGCATAACAGTGCACCTGCCAGATGTAGCAGCGCTTAAATTATAAAAAATTTCTCCGCATTACCTGTGTTGTCCCCCAGGGATCCATCTTGGGGCCACTTATGTTTATTATTTACATCAATGATCTACCAAATTGTGTCCAGTCGTGCAAAGTCTCCATGTATGCCGACGACACTATCTTATATTTCGCAGCAAGGAGTATTTCAACACTTGAGAAGACATTACAAAAGGACTCAACTCGGATCTCTCAGTGGTTTGCAGCAAACAAGCTTTCCCTAAATCCTAGTAAATGTAAGACAATGCTTATAGGGTCAGCAGGTATGAATGTGGCGAATACCAAGCTTAATGTTATATTAGACGGGGCTAAACTCGAACAGGTGACTAGTTTTAAATATCTTGGGGTCACTATTGATTGCCTACTCAAATGGAACGAACATTTCAAACATATGTACAAAAAAATTGCTCAGACCATTGGCATTATTAAGCACTTGAAACCCTACCTAAACAGACAAGCCCTATATGTAATGTACACAACGCTATTCATTCCGCAAATACAGTACTGTAGCACTGTCTGGGACACGGCAGGGAAGGGATACATTGAAAATTTGCAAAAGCTACAAAACAGGGTGGGTCGGGTGATTCTGGGCTGTGACAGGCGAACTTCTACCTCAACCCTTCTAAACACACTAAAATGGGTCCCAGTGGTTGAAATACATAAGAAAAGCAAAGCTACTCTCGTCTATAAAGCTATTAACGGTTTGACTCCTTCCTACATCACTGCAATGTTCACACAATTATCACACGTGCATACTCACAACACTCGCCTCAGGGCGCAAGGAGGTCTTCAGTTGCCAATGACTAAGCTAGAATACAGAAGACGTGCCTTTTCTTCGTCTGGGGCGGTATTGTGGGACACACTAACACATCACCTAAAAGCAGCCAGGACCCTAGCAGCCTTCAAACAACTTTATGTACTGGGTAATCATTGATATGCAAATTCCAAGCCTGATTTTAATCTTGATTTCTTTTTTGTCCTACCTTGGTTCTATGTTATATGATGGCCAGGCTTCACTTTTATTTCACTTATTTTGGTATTATAATTTCATGCGCAATGTATGCTACTTAAGTTACCTTGCTTTTGTATTATTTAGTATCTTTTGTAACTTTATAAGTTACTTTTGTTGTTATTACCTTCGCCAAGAAGGTTATGTTTTCAGTAGCGTTTGTCCGTTTGTTGGTTTGTTTGTTTGTGAACAGCATAACTCAAGAAGCTTGGTATGGATTGTCATGAAACTTGGTACGTGGGTAGGACTTGATGAGACCTAGAAATGATTAGATTTTGGGCCCCCTGGCGGCTTTTGTTGGTACTGCAGCAGAACTTCCGGTTTTGATATCTCGCGATCTAGATATGCTAGGGTCACGAATTTTGGATGACAGATAGCTCTTGGGGTAGGAAAGAAGTGACATGAGTTTGGGCCCCCTAGCGGCTTGTTCTGGAACTGCAGGAGCATTTGTTGAAAACTTTTCAAAGGATGATAACTCAAGAACCGGTTGACGGATTGTCATGATTTTTGGTATGTAGGTAGCTGAAGTGATGCTTGACATAATCAAATGACAGTTATGCAAATTAGGAGCTAATTTGCATAATTAATGAGAAATTTCTATAAATCTGCTTTGTTCGATAATAGGACTATGAAACACTTGTGACATGTAATTGAGAATAAAAAAACATCTGAGGATATAGATTATGTAAATGAAGACCTAATTTGCATAATTAATGAAATTTTTTTATAATTTCATAGTTGTAACTACTGGGAATTTCATACTTGCCACATTTGGAAGTTAAGTGAAGGCGAACATCAATAAACATAATTTATTCAAATCATGACTTCATTTGCATAGTTTATGAGGAAGTGCTATAATAGCCTTTTTGTTAAGATAAGACTGTCATTAGGTGGAGAATATGATCAACTGATATAACCCATGCAAATGAGGATCTTATTTGCAAAATCAATTATCAAAATTGTATAATACTTCAACCGCAAGGGTTAACATCATTTGGCGAAGGTATGAGATCGTGGAACTCTTGTTTGTATTTGTTTCAGTTTGATGTTTTTGTTTGGTGTCTTCCCCAGGGCCAGGGCTCATTGAAAAGCGCCCTAACGGGCGATATGTATCCCCCTGGTTAAATAATTAAAAACAAAAATGAAAAAAAAATTAAAGAAACTTTACCACAGCCCTTTAGCACACAGATAAACTGTTGATGTTGAATGAATTAGAAAGTTTTTGACGCTTTGTTTGTACGGCTGTGAAATTATCGCTCCTTTGTTGGTACAGTTTGATCTACAGTGTTCGTAAACGCTTTATAAATAATTTGATAATTTGTAAATCAGGTATGTCGTGAGCGAACTGTACATGATTGCTCGGTCTGTTCAACTACCATAACGTTGTTTAGGGAGAAAAATTATATATTTGTGGGTCTGTGTTTGCGCTACAGGAAAGCACTAGATCCATCTAGTCTTAGTTACAACAGGTGTCACTAGGCAGGTGGTGTGTATCTATCTGTAGGGTCAGACCAGGCATGGACGGAAGAGAACAGGAGACAATGGAGGAAGACGAGGAGTCCGGGTCAGAGGATTCCGGGTCTGAAGAGTCGAGTTGGGAGGGCGAGAAGGTAAAGTACAGGAAACATTATAAAAATAAAAGTGATGTTACACACACAGAGATTATAAAAATAAAAGTGATGTTACACACACAGAGATTATAAAAATAAAAGTGATGTTACACACACAGACAAGCCCCACATTGCATATTAACAGGCTTTTCCTCCAGCCTAATATAGATTGATCCACCCGTAAGTTAACCTCCTTGCGGCAGGACAGCTCGGTAGTCTTTTTTTTACATTTATCTGTACATACTTTGAATTTTTTTCACATGTGTTTGTGCCATGTTATGTGTCTGTATACTATGGGCCGTTGAGTCTGAAATAAACAATAAATATATGTGAGCTATGCACAAATAGAGGAGATAAATAATATATCTTTTTATAACTTTACACTGAGAGACATAAAAGACACAGCTTTTTATCTCATTTATTTAGTACGTAAATTTATTTTCACCTGAAAACGTGATAATTAAAAACGTCGTGATATTTCTCTAATAGTTATCCTTTTTTTTCTATATGAAACTATATATATATATATCACATAGAATTTCAACAAAAACTCTATATGGACAAAAAACTTTTTAAATTATCACGTTTTTCCTTAGAATAAAAATACGTACT